GTTTTTGTTTTTGTTTTTGTTTTTTTTTTTGAGGGGGGGGGGGCCCTCGTGAACGTTTTGCCCAGGGGCCCACACAACCCATAATCTATATATATATATATGAACATTATTCCCACTAACAACAGTATAAAATGTGAATGTTCACATGCAAAGACAAGATAACAATTAATACTTAATATATTTTACATAAGGCATTGAAGTTCCTTGAGTCCCTTTTGTCAGGTTAAAAAACTGAAAAAGTATTGAACTTTTATCACTGATGTCTTTACTTGTCCAGATGGTGGCACTGTTGTCTGAATTCCCCTTCTGGATAAACCAGTCAAATTGAGGATGAGTCAGCAGTTTAAATAACCCTAACCAGAAGTCATGCAAATATTTACACGCCAAGGCAGAACAGTGCCGGTTTACAGGTAAGCAGACACCAAAAGCTGGCCACTCGTTGCACCTCCCAGCAGATACAGCAGTGGGTAATACTCACCCAGTACTCGGAGGATACAGGAGCAAAGTAATGAGGACACTGGACAATCGTCTGTTTCCAAAAGCAGGGAGGTGGGTGCATCAGGGAGACCAGGCAACCCTAATCTACATGAAAGCCTTCTACTTGTGCCCTCGTAAAAAAGCAGCCATTCTCTGCTCACTTTGCTCCATAACTATGGAAACCCAATACTTGTGTGAAAGGTCAATGCCCCGCAGCTGAGGAATGACTGGCCAGTACAAAGGCCACTGGAAATTCCAGCAGTTTGTGTTCTTCAGTATGCGTTGCAATAGTGTGAGCTCTTCCAAACCAGGACCGCTCCATATGCAACCAGCCAACACACCACTACAGATCAACAATTTTATTCCAGTTTATTGCTTTGATTTCCAAAATGTACATAATTTCCAGGCCCGGATTTCACAGTAAGGCACACGAGGCTAATGTAAAGAACACCTTTACCGTCTTTTAAAACATTCTAGTACAAAATATTTCCAGTCAACTGTGTATCAAAACTAGTCTCATTAATGAAGTAGGAGCATTATGAGGATTTATACACATCTCCATAGTCTATGACCACACCTCTCTGTTTAATACTAATGACAGAAAATTAATATGGAGAGCAGTTTTCTGTAAGCCCACGATGACAGAATCCATAAGGAAATCGAATGCAAAGTTAAATCTACATTTAAAATGTAATGACTCAAAGATGGAGGAAACAGTAAATCAAGATGTCACCTGGTTAGTGTTAATCTGATTTCCCCCCTCCTACAAGGCCCCAGAATATTTGACCTAATCTGATTCATTGTACACAATTTAATTTGGGAGGATGTAGTGACAGAGCCTACTCAGTGAGACACTCGATTGTTAGGAGACATGACCAGACAGGCAGGCTGAAGGCACTGCTCATGAAAGCTGCAAAAGAAGGAAACCAACCTGCTACCCTTAGCTACTCATAAACCCATATTTTAATGGAGATGCACAGTTCAGTCATACATCTCAACACACAAAGTGATGCATTTAAGCTGAGAGTCATGTAGCCATTTTTTTTTTTGGATGATAACAAACGTTGCCGTCTTCACCAACTAGAGGGGCTACACCCTCCAGCATCTCTTAGATGGCACAGAACACTGGGATCAGAAGAACAAGTTTCACCAAATACAGATGATCTGTAGCCAAGACCCTGTTAGCCTTCATCTGGGAAGTATCGTCATTCTTATTTAATACAATGTAAACACAAGGTCCAGTTCATGCAGTAGTAAAAATCAAGCAAAGGGGAGTGTTTATCATATGTAACACAGGCAGTAAAGTGAAGTAAAGTAATTGAGTCCTTTCAGGGCCTGAGTGGTGTATGCGATCGGACAGAATGGCCCTTTAAACTCAAGCTGGACATTCATCAGTAGTAATACAAATTTCCCAAACACAAATATTGTCACTTTGCTCTTAGTATCTAACTTACTTGAGAAAGGGACGAATGCCAATTTATACCCTGTGCTTGACGTAAGTCACAATCAGGGCAAAAAGGGGACCGATTTGTGCATGTAATCTGTCCTGTAAAGTCGAATGACTGGTATCAATTCACTTTACAAATGAACATTACAGTTGAGTGCAAATTTTTCCATGTGGGAATTATTTTAAATCAAAAAAATCAAAAACAAAACGTTTGCCATCTCCTCCGTTTCCTTCGTCCAATCAGGGCTTCTCTACGGCACAGTGATGTGGAAGGGCGAGCCGGGGATGTGCTCCTCGCCCCACTTGACGGCCAGCACGTAGCTGCCCCTCTCCTTGACCACGTAGTTGACGGTGTACAGCTGGCTGCCCATGTGCCTGACGGATACCTCCTCGCAGGGGGTGCTGGGGCCATGCACACCCACCAAAAGCATGTTCCTGCCTGCAAGGTGTAGGGAGAACAGAGCCGCTCACATAGGGGCATGCAGCTAGACAACATGCAGTCAAGTCTGCAAGAGGACGGCGTTGTCTCTCGCATTTCAGAATGCGCTCAGGTTTATTCCTGTCCTATGCTTAGCAGATTATTTACGCAAAGGTGACTCACACGCCGTATAGTTGCAAAGAGTATATTTATACAGCTGTACGTCATCAATGCAGATGCATAAAGCACCTTTTTGTCAAGGCAAGAATCACGGAAATCCCTGAACCAGCAACATACTCCAGCGAAATCCAGCTGCTTAACTGATAATACCTTGTGCTTTGACTACTCCGTCTTTATGTAAGGAACCAAATGTGTTGCACATCCAAAGCAGCTCACCGGCTTTGCTGCAGTCCACGGAGAAGCTGCTCTTCTGACCCACGAAGGCCTTGCTCAGGCCCGGCCCTTTGCTGAGCACCTTGCTGGCGTCGGAGAAGGGGCACGGGACGTTGTAGCTGGTGGGGGTGGCCGCCTTGCTCACCGGCTCCACCATCAGCGTGGACGTCTCACTGGCGTTGGTCACGTTCACCAGGCGGGACCCTAGAAGAGGAAGGCTGGAGGTCTTACACTGAACCTCACGCTGGGTCCGACCTGAACATCCAGCCCTTTGTACAGGCAAATTAGCTACCAGAATTAATTTCCTAAAACTGCTTGTTTAATGCAGCAACTGCAATTGGAAGGTAATAGGCACCTGTCACTTTGGCTTTAAAGGGGCTTCCTGCGATGTGGTTGGGCCCCCCGTATTTGATGCTGATCAGGTAGTTCCCTGGTGCCAGCGGGGTGTACTGCACCCTGTAGCCCTCAGGGCATTCCTGGCACTCCATCTTGACCTTGGAGGGGCCCTCGATGGTGACGGTCAGGGACCCGGGGCCGGCTCTGGTGTTGTTGATGGTGAACTCAGACTGGGTACCTGGGGCGGACAGACGGCGTTCATGAATGTTAGAATGCCATCACTCTACGCTATACTAGCATCCTGCTAATGCCAGCCAATGCCCTGGGAGCACTTGGACACCCCAATCCCACTCCACAGACGTGCTGGGAAGGGTACCGGCTAATGCTAACAGCTAAATTAGCGAGTAGCTCTACTGCTCACTCGTTGGTAACCAGTTGTGGTACAGGCAGCAGCAGTGCTTAATAATAATAATAAAAATAGTAATAATTGATACTTTATTGATCCCCGTGGGGAAATCTTTACGCCTCCCTCAACTTGCTCTTTGCAGAGTAAGTTGTCCGTAAAGGGCAGTCACCTGTTGGGGCACCCAGGGAGCTGGGGGTTAAGGGCCTTGCTGAAGGACCTGCAGACGTGCTGAGGCTGGGTTTGAACCGGCAACCTTCTGATTACAGGCACACAGGCTTAGCCCACTGAACTACTCACTACTACCAGTCAAACCAAACATTTGCACGGGGCCCCTGAAGTGACTTTTTTAATGGGCCCCAGACACAATAAACTGGCCCCTGAATACCGGTCCTTGGATCCTCAGTTTGTCCTATGCGTCTGCTGGAGTCGGCCGACCTTCAGGAAAGTTACCTGTGATGCCCTTCTCCAGGCCCGGGCCGTAGGCAGTGACGAGCCCTGCATCTCCCGCCTGCCCTGGCTCGCCCACGCGCACCTGGAAGGGGCTGCCCGGGATGTGGATGCCGTTGAACTTGACATCGATGAGGTGTATGCCATTCTCACGTGGGATGAAGCGGATGGCATATTTGTCTGGAGAGGGTTGAGTGGGCGGATGGAGATTGATCAGATAAGTCTTACAGAGAGGAAAGAAGCTGTGAAATAGAGTCTATGACCACACCTCTCTGTTTAATACTAATGACAGGCGTGGCTAAAATGTTCGAATTTCCCCAGCCTTTAGACTCCAATGTAGCTAAAAGAACAGCCTGGTGGACAAGGGAGTGTTGGTTACGCAAACCAATAGGATGGTGGATGCCAGCAAAAGGCCCGCCTCTTTGCAAGTTTCTGTTCCAATGAAATCACAGCAGACTGAGCAAAGTCATAGAGGCATGTTCAGGCTTTACAGAGAGAAAATGAAAATGATGACGGAAAACAGCAGAGGAGAGCTGATCCCACGACCATGGAAACACGGGCAGGAAGGTGTGGAGACCCTCGTGGGTGGAGCCTCACCTTGCTCCAGCTCAGACACCACGCAGTCCTCCAGAGCCCCCGAGGGACTGCGCACCCTGGCACTGATGTGCCCCTGTGCCCCATTTAGGCGCACCGCAAACGACACCGGCTGGTTCACCTTCAGGCCCGACTCCTGGGAACGAGTTGACAGAGGACAGTTAGGCACCTCCTCCCCCCACCCTCCTGCCCACCCCCCAGACACAAATATGAACGTTACAAAGAGGAAACCAAGCTGGGGCCTTGTAGACCTCTTAAGATCTACCCTACGAAGGTCCAACTCGGCTCCAAAGGAGGAGAATCCCTTAGCAACATTAAGCATGATCCAAGAAGATGAACTTTACCTGAGCCCACCTTCAACCAACTAAAGCTGAGAGAGGTAGATGCACTGGTCTCCAAACTCTACAGGTCAGGAAGTAGGACAAGGGGACTACAAGACTTGCTAGGGTGACCTACAGAACCCAGATAGGCGAGTGCGCTACAGGAGGGGCTTTTGGGGGGTGTTGGAAACAGTGTCTGCCTCTCTCTGCGTTAGCGCAGCTTGGGACGGGCTGGAAACGTCGCTCCTGTTACAGGCCTTTAAATGAAACACAAGGGAAACACCCAGAGTCGCACACAAGCCGGGGGGTGTCTGTGAGCTCTGCGAAACAGGGCCGGCTCAGTAGTGGCGCCCCCCGCAGGGCAGGACCAGTGGAGAACCAGAGACGGAAATTTGCAAGCGCAAAAGAAAAAGTTGCAAGGATTTTAATAAAATCCCAAATAAAGAGCAGGGGTGTCAAAGTCACAAGCTGTCACTTTCTGGCAGGACGGCCAAATCGCGGCCAGAATCATCGCCTGAGGATTTGCACTTTGCTCTTAAGTGACACCATCGCCTTCGGTGGCCGCCAATGGAGGCCCTGGCCAGCCGCAGACACGCCCGGCGTGGAGATGTTTCCTCGTGCCTCACCTGAAGGCTGGTAACAGTCAGGCGGCGGGCGTCGTCCAGGGGGGCAGAGGCGGGCACCAGGAAGGGGCTCTCGGGGATGTGCTCATCGTTGAACTTGACCGACACTTCGTAGTCGCCTGGGAGATGCAGTGACAAACAAACTCTGCTGCATAAACGGAGTGTTTGAGGACATCAGGCTGCAGGTAATTAGTATCTAAGGGATGTTGGTACGAACTCCCAGGAGCAGCTCTGCTGCTGCACCCTGGAGCGATATTCTGAACCCGAATTCCTTCATGCAGTTCTCAGCGGAAACAGATTAAAAACAAAAACCTTTTACAAAGGCATTTACCTTTAAGAAAGCTATTTAAAAATAAAAAAACAGAAGACTCCTCCACTGTTCCAGCAGCCTACTCAACATAAACCCGTACAGCCGACATATGTAAATACTGACTTACATCTTCTCTAGTCTCTTTGCACCAACACCTGTTACATCACTGCATACGGCACACTATTTATGGATATTTATGATTGTTTAATGTCTCTTTATATTTATGACCCCTGCTTCACAGTTTAGGCAACCAAACATATCACTGCACTTTGGACTGAGTATAACTGAGTATGTGACATACAACATTTGACTGACTGAATGACTTCAATGATGGATTTATCGCATACCAGGCTCCTGCACGATGTAAGAAACTCCACAAGACCCATCCTTGCGGTCCTCGAAGGAGATCTCTGCTCGACTGGGCCCTTCCACGGCGATCGACAGGCCGCCGGCCCCAGCCTCTCTCGTCCAGATGTTGAACTCAGCTGCAGGGGAACAGAACGGCTCTCGGCTTCAGATAAACGACTCGACACCAGCGTTGAAAGGATGGTCGGGACTCGGCCCACTTTGCCCGACGCGTCTCACTGTACCTGGCACTCCGGCTTCGGCCTTCTCCAGCCCGGGCCCCCCGGCCCGCACCTTCCCGGCCCCCCCCTCGCCTAGGGGCCCGACCGTGAACTGGAAGGGGCTGCCGGGCACGTGCTGACCCCTGTACTTCACGATGACGGTGTGGACGCCCATCTCACGCGGTACGAAGCGCACGCAGTAGGTGTTGTTGCCCACGGCGACGATGTCGGCCGGCTCAGTGCTGCCGGACGGGCTGGTGACCTGAGCGGACACGTCGTGAACGTCGATCTCTGGCAGAGATGGAGAGAGATGGAGAGCCAGGCTGTCAGCACTGAGCAGGGCGAGGGCAAGGCCAGCAGGGGGCAGCTCAGCAAACAAGCGAAGGTTGCCTAGCAACCGAAACAGCAGAAATGCGATAACACCCATTGGTCTAACATTATATCCAAATTCAAATCCTGTTTCTTAATTTCATCAGTCAGTGCTATAATCATATTCAAAATATGGATAAAAATGAAAAGTAAGAAGCAATACAAAAGTCAACTACTGTACTAGCATGGCCTCACGCACACAAAATCATGCTTTTTTAAATCAAAACAAAAACACACACACACACACACACACACACACACACACACACAGATAAATCAAAGAGGAGCGCGTTCTGCCAACCTCATTGTCCACATGCCCAGTGCTTATAACGCACCCTCCAGCCCAGAGGGCCGTGCCAGGGGGGCGGCACCGATCCATGTCCCCTCAGCGTGTTTGGGCACCTGGCCAGGCGTGCCCCATTCGCCTGCCCCCCCACCCCGGCGCCGCAGAGAGCAGCAGGAGCGATAGACCACGCGAGACAGAATCTCCCGGGAGATGGCCAGGAGAAACCATGTCACTACAGGGAGTGGGGGGCGGGCAGAGAGGGGGGAGAGAGAGAACAGGAGAGAGAAGGAGAGTTGAGGAGAGAGGGCAGGAACAGCGAGGACTGGAGACAGATCTGGGATGAGAACAGCATAGGAGGAAAGAAGCTGTGAAAGTAGAGGAGTCAAAGGCCACACCTTGCTATTTAGTAATAATGGTATTTTCCCAGCCTTTAATGCAACTAAAGGGACGGTTTGGTGGACATCCAATAGGATGGTGCCAATCACCAAAGGCCTGCCTCTTTGTGGGTCTCTGCTCCAATGAAATCACAGCAGTCACCACTGAGCAAAGTCAAATACAGGAATGTATAAGACCTCACTGTGGTCCGGTTTAAGACACAGTGTACCCCGGGCGGAGGTGCTCTGCTATCTGCGATCATTGCAATTATAAAACAGGACTACATCAAAACTGGAATGAAGACTAAATGAGGAATCACCACGGAAATTGGGTTCCTTTTTAGAAGGAAAAGACCACTCTACCTGGGATCTTGAGGTTGAGGTCGCAGACACTACCCACGGAGGCGACGGAAGCGGCTCTCTGGCGGCGGCTGATGCTCTCCCGGATACGTCCCTCTCCCGTCACCTTCATGGTGAAGGGGCTCCCTGCCAAAGTGAAGCACAGCCATGAGCCCTCTGGAATGGAACAGCCCTGCGCCCACCTGACCAACATCAGCCCTCAGGGACCTACAGGGCAGGGCACTAGATCTACTCTAAGGCTAAAATCAATATGGCCGCCACACTCTACCAAGTACAGGGTCATTAGTGTGAAAAGCCACTGAAATAACAGAAAGGGAACAGATTGCTCACACGGAACGTAAACGTGAATCAACAGTAATCGATTACAAACAATGTAAAAGATGCTGTGTAGTTAAAAGTAGCTCCACGGAAAGACGTCAACAATTGCTAAGTAGCCTCAGCCCAAGAAGGAACAGAAAGGTGCAACCAGGGCTCCTTACCAGGTATGTGCTCCTCTGCAAACCGGATGGACACCAAGTAAGCACCAGGCTCCGTGGGACAGTACGAGACCTCGCAGGTGCCGTCCTCCAGGTCCTCCGTTTGGATGTCCACCTTACTGGGGCCCTCGATGGCCAAAGCAAGGCCTCCGTACCCTGAGACAACCCAGAACAGTCTCTTATGAAAGAAGCATGGCTAAACGCCCAAACAAAGGCTACACGATAAGTAAAACCAATCCTGAATGTCAGATAAAAACAATCGCTGGTAACATGGTAATTACCGAAACTGCGATGAATTCAGAGTAATTAAAGAAATGCACTTAATTATGTGCGACTCCTATTGAGATAAACAGCCTAGATTCACTTTTCCCAGTCCTGTGGGACTCCAGCCCATGTTGAAACTGAAAGCATAAAACGCAATTAACCATAAAATCGGCACGCACTCCAGGTGTTTGGGAGTGTGTAACCACTAGCCGGGTTAGTGTGGGCAAAAATGGGGGGTTAACACTGTGGGACAAATGTAAATGTGGCACAGACCCTAAGAACTCGCTGCAAGCAAATTGCGTTAATGGGCATTTTACCATGATAGACCACGGGAGTCAGAATCTCCTGGGAGATGATAGGAGAAACCATGTCACTACAGGGGGACTTGTTCAGAAACTTACTCTGTGAAGCAGCACCAAAGCACATTACAGGAGCATTGACACCCCCAAGCCTCCCGTCTTAAGCTCACTCACCCGCCTCACGCGTGTCCACGACAAAGTCGGCCATCTCAAAGGTACGGCCCTCGACCAGGCCCTTGCCGAACACCTTCACCTTGCTGGCATCGCCGATCTCGGACTGGACTACCATGATAGTGACGGGACTATTAGCCACATGATGGCCATTCTTCTTGATACTGACCAGGTGCTCTCCCACCTCTCTTGGGATGAAGGAAATGCCTGAATGTGTAGTGGGGGGGGGGGGGGGCAAAAAACTTATAATTCCACTCAATATTTTATAAGCATTCCATCTCTGTTACACTTCTCAAAAGACAATAGGCAAAAACAGCAACGTTTACAACCTACGAACTAATAGCCAATCGTAACCCATAGAACAATCCAAAAAAAACACCATGTGTTGATGTCGCTCTGTAACACGGAGTTTATCATTAGCAGATGCTGGTTAAAACAGCACACATGGCTTTTTAATGTACTGGTTAATAGATCATCACAAACAAAGTGCCCTTCTGGGGACAAGCTGCTCTCACCAATGTGATTGTTGGACTGCCTCTTGAGCAGGCAGGGCTCGTCTCGGCCCGACGGCGCCTTGATGTTGGCAGTGAGCAGGCTCAGGTCCGCCTCTGTGATGTCCAGCGAGAAGTCCGCTGCAGAGCCCAGCTTCACCTGCGACCTCCTCCTGTTGTCCTCTGCAAAGGAGGGCACCAACACCGCCGTTAATCTGGGGCCTTCTGATCATGAGGCATCCGACCACGTCCCAAGATGACCAAGTAGAAACGGTGCAAACACAACAGTTTTGGCTGACGTCCTTAGCTAACGAAAGATCAAAGGCAGATGTTGAGCCCCAGTGTGATTGGAGCTGATCCGTCACAGACCACTGCTGGTTGAGTCTCAAGGACCATGGAGCCTACCAGTGACGCGGGCGGTGAAGGGGCTGCCCGCGATGTGCTTGTCATTGTAGCGCACCAGGATGCTGTAGTCTCCAGGTAACGTGGGCAGGTAGGCCACTGTGCAGGTGCCGTCTTTGTTATCTGTGCAACTGATTTCCGCCTTAGAGGGGCCTTCGATCGCCAGGTCCAAGCCACCTACATGACAGGGGAGGGGGAGGCGTGGATTTAGCGTCTTTCCAGATCGTTGACATTTGTATCCACATGGAGTTCGTAATCAGACTCACCTTCTCCCGCATCATCGGTGAAAATGGTGAAGCTGCCGATCTTGTTAGCGGTGCCATACACCAGGCCTGGTCCGTAGGCAGTGACGTTGGGGCTGTTGACGCTGTTGACGTAGAAGCGCAGGGGGCTCTCTGTATGCAAGGAAGGTGGACAGCAGGCAGGAGACGTGAGAAACTCAGTGATCTCACGAAACAGGCAAAATGAGGAGGGACGTTCCCACTGTCATGCGTTCTGGGAAAACTGGCATGCTCGCTTTGCCCTCAAGCAGTCAATTGACACAACAGAAGGTCTCCGTGTGAATTAACTGAATGGGAATGTGGCTTATTTGTCATGTTTTCGTAATCACTTCACATCAGCTAAGCAAGTACAGACCTGTGGGAACAACCCTTTACATGAAAAGGAATATTAATAACTGATGAAACTCTATGATAAATGATGCTTCAAAATGTTGTTATACTTAATATCCTTCCAATTATAGCAAGGCCTTTCTTCTTGAGGGATTGGCCGTTGCAATAAAGTCTCCCTATTGAACATTCATTTCAAAACACAGCGTAGAAAGATGATGTAAGTAAATCACCACAACAGCAGCCTGCTGTTTACATGCCAGAGAAATTAACGTAAGCAGTCACGTTCCAGAATAATCTGAGTAACTGGACTGGCAGAGGCAAAGGGCACGAATGGTGCAGATCATTTGGAGCACACTGGAGATGTGACCAGGGTTATTAGTGAAAACTAAAATAAGAAAAAAAATTTGTGAACTGAAATAAAATAAGACATGGAAATATTATAAATATTGTTTCCGCAACTAATTGAAATAAAATAAAAACAAACGACAAACCATCAATAATATTCCTGGAACATTTGTCCAGTTTTTTGGAAATGTGTAGACAATGTACACTGTAATCATGTAGGATTCCCTAAAGATCAGGCACATAAAACTAGACAACTGTCTGTCCCTAGAAGTGAGCAGAGTAAAAAAAAGTGAAAACAAAAAACAGAAAACTAAAATAGGAATATATCTTTAAAATAAAAACTAATAAAATCACACTGAAAGCTAACTAAAACTAAATAAAAACTGTAAATATAAAAAATAACAAAATAATAAATTCAAACCTATTATAACACTGTGTCCAACTTCAAACAAGCTGAGACTTGAGATACAAACATAATCCCAAGCCTGATGTCATGGAAAGGTTTTCTTTCAACACCTCGCATAAATCAAAATCAGCATGGATTACTGTTTGTGTCTAAAACCTCTTGAAGGTGGATTATTCATCTGTGCAACATCAACGAATCCACACCCCCCAACCACTCCCATGTTCTATAGAACAAACATGATCCCAGGCCTGGGGGGTTTGTAAAGGGGGAGTCACACGGCTCGTTCATCGGACCAGGGTCCCGGCTCACGCCTCAGGACGAGGGATGGCGTCCAAGACGGACCTGGGATGTGATTGCCGTTGTACTTGATGTGCATCTCGTGCAGGCCCGGCTCCGTGGGGGCGAACTTCACAGTGACTGTCCCATCCTTGTTGTCTATGATCTCAGGCTGGGCAGTCTTGCCTGAAGGCATATAGACCTCACCTGGGCAGGAAAGGTAAAGACAACATGGTCCTACACTGGTAATTCAAAGTAGATCTTCAGCATGGAGCTCAAGAGAGGGCAACTGATGGACCAGTTATCTACAAATGTAGTGCAGTAAGACAGATCAAATTTTGTAATTATTTACCTCATTCATTCATTTGTAATTATTTACCTCATATTTTCCACTTTCCAATAAATGGACCAAAATCACAGATGTCTACAAGTTCAACCTGAAACCCAACTTTGCTACATCTACATTTTTGTGTCCAAAGCGACATACAAGTAGGCAGGCTGAGCTTCTGATGAAGCGCCAACAGGCACCTGCTTAGGGAGAGGAAGCGGGTTTGCTGTTGTCACTGCACAGAAGCCGTCTTACCTGTGATTTCCCCTTTCCTGAAGGCGAACGGGATAACCATGTCAAAGGGTCTGAATCCTGTCCCATTCATGCTGTTGGCTGGCATGGAGCCATCGGTCACCTGGGGCAGAAAGTCTGGTCAGGGTGGGTAAGTACAGTTACCCTACATGGAGCTGGTTTCCAAGGGGTACGGCCATTTTTTAATTAGAATATTGTGCCTCAGACTTTAGCCGGGGGGGGGCAAGAGCAAAAGAACGTAGCGAACACAGCTCCCCACCTGTGAAAAGCAAACGCATTCCCAGGTGCCTGGAAAAGAGGAGAAGCACCCCCATGCAAGCTAGAATTGGCTGGGGAGGAGACAGAGTCAACCAGGGACCATATTTACTTGGAGAAAAGGCACCGAAATAAGTAGGACAGATGATTCATATCTGGACCTGTTTTTCTAACCCATAAACATGGTCTGACTGGGTACATGGGCGGCAATGCTGTTAGCTAATTGATACTTTATTGATCCCCGGGGAGAAATTGTCTTTATGCCTCCCCCAACTTGCTCTTTGTAGAGTAAGCTGGCCATGAAGGGCAGCCACCTGTTGGGGCACCCAGGGAGCTGGGGGTTAAGGGCCTTGCTCAAGGACCCACAGACTGCCAAGGCTGAGTTTGAACCAATGACCTTCTGATCACAGGCACACAGGCTTAGCCCAGTGAGCCACATGCCGCTCCCAACACTAGCTAAAGCAGTTATGGGGGCCCCTAAGGATTGGGTTAAGAAACACTGAGCTAAAGGGCTCCTTGGTTCATAAGTTATGTAACGAGGGCAGCCACTCACAGGTCCATACAAACTCTCTGTGCATGTTTGCCTCACATTCTGTTGTTTTCATTCTCACAAAAGGCCATGAGGCACAATGGTATGAGGTAAACCCTTCCAGAAAAACCTACCCCGTAATTATGTGGGCCTGTTTTATTTTTAGCCGTGGGTACAGTAACCTACCAGAGCGCAGTAATGTTACACAGAAACGCATGCAAAATCAGTTACACGGAATTTCCTGCAGTCATTTCTAGCCTCACGGTCCAGTTCGGAAACCCGCAGGAGGAAAGGGAAGAGAAGAGCCTTGGGACAGAGGATAGGGCTAGATCCGGCCGGCAAGAGGCTTCAGTATGGGCCCTTACAGGTTCTTAATTCATTATCTGGCTCGTGCATCGATCTTTCGTTTTCTAATGAGAATAAAAGAGCATGTCAAAAAAGATGTCAATCTTTTTTCCCTTGTTTGTAAAGTAACCTTGGGTTTGTTAAACGTGATATATTAATATGATCTTCCTCATCATCGTCATCATCACCACCCCACCAGTTAGCTTAGCTTCACTGGCACCCCCCGACAATGATTAGCGAAATATAAAAGTTACATCTTTCATTTAATTCTCTTAAAGGGCTCATAAAGGGCAGCTCAAACGGCCTCCTCTGGAGAAGATCTCCTAGCCAGTGTCCCCCAGGTTATTTAAGCTTGAGACGCCTGCCTTAGCGTGTAAGATGAACCAACAGAGTTACAGAAACCTGAGGAGAAAGGTGAGGGTCCAAGATAGGTGTATGAAGAGGGAAAGGAATGAGATTAAGAGAGCAGTCTACAGAGAATAGGAGGAGGAAGGGAGGGAGTGTGTACCCAGGACTGGAAGCCAGGGGGTGCAGCCCCCGGGGCAGCCTGCTGCTGCTGCTGGACTGACTGCTGAGCCACCAGGGCAGGTTCGTCCATAGCCTGGTGGGGGGGGGGTGACCGTTAGTGATTACTTTCAAACATCTGTTATACAGACACTTTAAGAGTTTGCAGGAATTGTACCCACAGGTACGTCTTGTCCGTTCATGCACAGAACCTGGCACTCTCTCTCACCGTGACTTTAAAGGGACTGCGGGGAATGTTCTCTCCTCCGAAGCGCACGTAGACCACGTACGTTCCCGGCTTAGAGGCTGTGTAGAAGATATCAAAGGTGCCGTCTTCATTCTCGATGACCTCTGCTTCCACCTCCTCTCCATCTGGGGTGACGATGACACAGGAGACCTTGCCCTTGCCAGCACCCTTTGTGTTCACCATGAAGCCCACCTCCTCTCCGATGCCAATGACTGGGCCAAGGCCGGTCCCTGAGGATGTAGACGTAGACTTTCAAAACCTGCTCAGAAAACTGCTTCACTCAGTTAAGATGGAGGTGGATGTTCTCCATACCTGCGATGGTACACTTGCTGGCATCGCCGACCGCGGTGGCACGGATGCGGTACGGTGAGGTTGGGATCTCATCGCCCCCATACTTGATGACGATGGTATATCGGCCAACCTTGTCCGGAATGTAAGACACACGGTACGTGCCGTCCTGGTTGTCATGGATACTGACTTTCTTTGGTTTACCTTCCTGGTCCTGGGAAACCAAATCCATGGTAGAACATTCAGACCTTAGCTATCCAGCAAGATCCTCTGGGACAAGATGACTGAGAACAGTTATGAATTTGTGTGAGGTGCCAAGTGGGGTTGGAGAGTCCAGATTTCAAATATGTACAATAAGGGGGGGGGGGGTCTTAGATTTGGGAATGCTTCAACTGCTACAATTGCGAAAAATATTGGGGTTAATTTTTCTCCAGAGAAATTACCTCAGTGCAGATGCCTACTACATGGGAAACTCGGGGGCTGTTTGGCCCCCCAATTGGACACCCTGCTCGCTTCATTACTGCCCTTTCCACACCATTACTGGCAGACGCCGTGTCTCGAATGCAAGCATGTGAGGATTAACAGCATTTGTGAAAAAAGTGTCTTCTTGCAGAGATCTCTGTACCAAGTCGAATACAAAGTCTGGTGGAAATCTTCCAAGTATTCCAGGAAACGTATGTTTTGAAAACATGCTGGCAGCAGGAATTATCGCTAGCAAACTTTGTGTGATGAGAGAGTGTAGCACAGTTTTAAGCTGATAATCAAGGTTTCCAGTCACCTATATCCTTGGGGAATGGACTGTGTGAGTAATGAGCACAAGGGTCTTCAGTAAAGCACCGGGAGGTTCACACTCACCGTGATCTGCACAGACAGCTGACCTTCTCCAGCGTCCTTGGCGTCAATGGTGAACTCTACTGGCAGGCTGGCGGGCAGCCCAGTGCTCAGGCCAGGCCCGCTGGCACGGACCTTGCTGGCATCGTGGGTGGGCAGCACACGGAACTTGAAGGGACTGCAAGGATCACAGGTGGGTCAAGCGAGTGAAAGAGTCAAATGGGACAACGAAACTAAATGAAGAGGATAGAAGCTTGTTGGCCACTCACCTGTGAGGCACTTCCTGGTCAGCATACTTGACCACCACAGAGTACGGTCCTTCCACCGATGGGGTGTAGGCCACGGTGTGCGTCCCATCCCCATTGTCTGTCACCTGCACTGGCTCGGCCATCCCTGTGGACAGCACAGAGGAGTTACCACCATCTGCGTTCACCAGTGTTTCTCAGTGTTTTTCAGCCCACTTCTCAGGGACCCTCAGACAGTCCGTTTTTTCGTTCCCTCCCAGCTCCCCTCACACCTGAGCCAAATATGGTGTGGGTGTGTCAGGAGCTGGGAGGGAACAAAAATGTGGACTGTCCCTGAGGACTGGGCTGAGAAACCCCGGCATCAGGGATACTGATTCGTAATGCAAAGTGAAAGTCAATTTTACGCCAATTGAGGCACTCTGCATGCTTAGCTTGATTGAATTCTGAACCAGTCACTTGTATTGGAAGTGTAATCTGCAGTCTGCACAACTTGATTACCCTCTGCACTCATAGATTTCATCCCACTGATTTTGAGCATGGGGGGGCACCGGAACATCTCAAAACAAAATGCACTGATAATTGATTTTCCTGGTTTTAATAAAGACTGTAATTTACTTCCTTTCATTTGAAAATACACTGCACATTCAGCTATTGCCTTTTAAAAGGCCTTTAAACCCTCCATTAAAACCTCCTGGGGATAGCCAGTGTGGTGGCTATTGCCTCCATATTGAAAAACACAATTGCAGTGGAACAGAATTTACAGGTATGCAATTATGTTCTTGAGTCCACTGAGGCTAATGGTCGCTCCTGAAGCTTTGCAATGGCAGCCTTATTGCAGGCATTTCCTGCAATTACAAATGGACCACAAAATGCATCCATCCATAATCCAGAGGGGTTTGACAGAAGCTGCCACTTGAGGACACAAAACGACCTGGCCTTGGTACTTTAACTGGTCAGTCTCCCTGCCTCCTATTTGGGTGCTTTCTATGCCTGGTATGAGACTGGACTAACCTGGACTAACCACTTTTCTAGCATGCAATTTGCAGAGAAACTCCCTTTACTTGCCTCTTGGCTAATTGATGGAACCTCTCAGACAATAAGGCAAATAGAGAGAGCAACAGTGACCTCTGCTTAGAGGCTTCTCATAAAGTCATGGGAGTCGTCATTCTACTAGGTGGTCCACCAACGACGATCATCAGACAAGACCCTTGTTGGTTATGCTTGTCGCCATGATGACTATCGTTCACGTGGGTTGATAAAACTTCAGTGCCAGCCTCAGACAACACGCATAGCTCAGATGATGCACCCTGCACTGTATTTACGGCACTCAAGGTGGCGCAGCAAGTCCTGGGGATGTTTGAGCCACAAGCAGAACCAGGTCAGAGCAGGAGGAGCATGCAGAAGAGCCACCCAGCCCAGGGAGGGAAAAGCAGGCCTTCTCCCTCATGGCAACTGAAGCATGAGAGCCCTTCGGAAGACACAGCGATGACTCAACATAGCCCTTAAACCGTATTCCTGACCTCAGAGTATTTCTGGCATTTCCCCTCAGGAAAACCCTTCGTCTCGGCTTGCATATGCCGAACAAGAGAGATTTCCTCTGTCCTACTGAACCTCAACCCCTCTGCACCTCCAGATCAGCAGCTGCGCGCTAGCGGACAGGAAGCGACAGAAAGCTTTTCATAAGCGAGACAGAAACTGGAAAGGCCCTTTTCTCTGGCGGCCCCTTCTGACAGAGCTCACGCTAAAGCACCCTCACCCATGTGGCGGTCAGACGTAGACCGGGCCACAGACCTGTCCCCGAGTCCTTTGGTTCGGCCTTAAAGAGGTCCGTAAAAGCTTTCAGGGGACTGCGCCAAGGCTGGGCTTCCACCTCATCCGCTAGAACACAAAACTTTCAGCATCAAGCCCGTGAATCGCATTCATGGACGTCCATTTCACAGGATCGGATGACATGTGACATGCCATTATGGGGGGGGGACAGGTTACACCGGTTTAAGTCACAATTCTTAACGACCATGTCTGTTAGATTGCAGTCAAGTGATAGCATGGTTAACTGCACAGTTCACGAACCACTAAACATAAAAGCGGGCCGGTGTTGCCAGACCCACCTTTGGGTGCCATTACTGCCACGGAGAGGGGCGCCACGCCAGCCTTGCTGCAGTCAACAGTGAAGGACTGTGGGATCTTGGCTCGGACTGCGGAGCCCACACCCGGACCAGAGACCTTCACCTTGCTGGGGTTCACAACATCTTTTGCTGGTACCTTGAAGGGACTTCCTACAGAACAAGAGCATCAGCAACAAGGTGAGGCGACTCCCAACACCTGCTTACACCCAATACATAACCAAGAAGCTGGTCATTCACCTCAAAACGACATCTAAACTCAACCTCATATTCATACTTACCTTCTTTAACCTCATGTGTAGTGGTTTTGGCAATATGCCAATGTCTATAGCCTACCTGGAATGTGGTTTCCTCCGTACGTAATGTTGACATCATACAGCCCGGGAACATAAGGGGTGTATTCCACATTGCAGCTTCCATCCTTGTTATCCTTGCAGGACATCTTGGATTCTGATGGTCCTTCCACAGTGATGCCCAAGCCACCAATGCCAGCCCCCCTTCAAGAAACGTAAATCTTATATGTGAGAAAGCCTACTTAATCATATCCACTTGCCAGCAGCTAACTCATTCCACAATTCAACACAACAGTACCATCAGGCAACTTCACCTGGTGATAATGGAGAAGTTGTTGGATTTCTCTGTCAGGGCCTCCTGGAGCCCGGGGCCCTTGGCAATCACACGGGTGGGGTCACAGCCCTCCGTCACATCCACTCGGAAGGGGCTCTTTGGAACGGCGGTCTTATCGTAGAGCACCTCAACTCTGTGCACGCCTGTCATGGTGAGATGCACGAGCACGGTCAATCGTGCACGAACAACAGAGAGCATTCATCATGCGTTTCGGGTTTTAAAGCTCCTCCCCTGTCATACCATTCTCAAACGGTGTGTATTCCACTCCATACGTCCCGTCAGAGTTGTCGGTCACCAGGCAGTCAGCGGCAGCACCTGAAGGGCTCTGGACCAGGGCCTTGATGTGGTCTCCGCCAGCTTTGGTCAGGGGACGGGCGTCCACGGTGAAGCTGGTGGTGGCTTCCCGGAACACTCCTGGGGGGGGGAACACAAGTACCAAACCCTCAAATTTCCACCAAATCGTAGCAACATCCACAGATCCAGTAAAAATCACAAAACCAGCCTTTATTACCCCCTCAAGGTCATAAGCAAAACATCAGGAGGCTCCTATGAATTCCATTAGATTTTTCTCAAATTCCGTTTTGTTTTTTCCTAATTTCATTTTTTTGGGGATTTATTTTGATCCATTTCAAATGTTAAAGTTTTTATAAGCCGCCGACCAAAAAAATTAACCTTTTAGGAGCCAAAATCCCAAACTTTCTTTTCAGAGTATGATGTGTAATTTATTTGGTCTGGCAGCTTATTAAAACTGTCCTGGGATATCCAAGTCAGGTAAACTAAGATTTAAGAGGGTTGGGCATCATTTTGTATCTATTAATATTAGGGGTTCGAGTTGTGGTCGGGTTGAATAAAAGCATCAGGCAGAGTTCAGGTCACTGAATGGATCTGTGCATCACTGGTTCTTGCACCACAATGGAGCCAAAAAAGGCTGAAAGGGCTGATTAAGGGGCTGTTCCTGTAAACGATTGAGCAATTTGGTAACTGCCCCAAGTTCCTGCAGTGGAAACAAGTCTAATGGTAACATCCCTGAAATCATTTGGCCAGATTTGACTATTAAAAAGTATCTGACTAAGTATACTGTGAGCGTAGTTAACACTCCGGACAATTTTATAATGTCAACACAACATCACACACAATTACACATTCCTAAGTAAATACCATTTTCATGCCTCAATCCCGTGATTCCATCACAGGGCCTACATCACTAATCATTACTGCCATTCTAATGAAGAAAATCACTTCAGTTCTCTCAATTCACCTACTGTAGAAGTATGGGACGTACTGTCAAAATTGCAAGAAGATTTTATGGAGGTCTAGCTTTAATATCAGTTAAGCCCATCCTTCATGAAAAAAATAAATAAGATTTACCATTGTAAGTAATTCATATTGGTTTCAGAGTCACAAAATGAAAAACTGCAAATTTAAATGAATAAAGCCTCATATACAAAGATTTCGAGTGAATAAGCAGCCAAAAGAAGTCAGTATTTTAAAGGACATACCGGTTCCTTCCACCCCTGGTCCAAACACTTTCACCTTGCTGGTATCAACAGCCGGATCCACCTGAACCACAGCGGGGAAGTTGGGCACAGTCTTGCCTCCGTATTTAAGCAGAAGGGTATACATGCCAGCAGTGAGGGGCACGTATGTGACAGTGTAGGTGCCATCTTTGTTGTCCAGCACGTTGGTCTTAGCCACGGAGCCAGAGTCGGACGTCGCCTCCATAGTGAGCACACCAGGCCCGGCCTTCGAACAATCCACGTTCACAGTGCTGGTCTCACCCACCTTCCCTCGCAGAAGTCCAGGTCCGGTGGCCACCACCCGAGTGGGGTCAAAGGGCATCTGGATATCTGCATGGAATGGTGAGCCAGGGATCTGGACCTCCTGAAAGAGGATGTTCACCAGGTACTCCCCGGGCTCGGTGGGAAGGTAGGACACGGAGCAGGTGCCGTCGCCATTGTCTGAGCACTCCATCTTGGCCTCGGTGGGACCCTCCACGGTGAGTCCCAGTCCGCCAGTGCCCGCACCTTTTGTGTCAATCGTGAACTCTGCTGGTTTTCCCACCAGACCACCCTTCAGACCTGGACCATAGGCTTTTACCTGATGGAAATAGAAAAGGTTTAGTTTCTGATCCAGAACCTGACCAAACGCAACATTTGCTTAGGTTCTTTAGGTACCAAAGAGCTAAGTTGGCCTACAGGTTTCCAAGTTATCCTCCCCTAACGATAAGCTACCTCGATCATCTGGTGATGTTACTAATTATCCAAACAAAACTCTCATCAAAAAAAAAACTCCAACACTGCCAGAAACAAAGTACCATTCTGTACCTTTGAGGATACAGTGACTTATCACTGGGGCTGTACCCTCAAGGGTCTGCCAACTGGACTTTAGCTGTAGGTGAATGTATCTTTTAAGGTACAGAAATGGACTCTGAGGAACACTTTTGTACCATTGGGGATACATTAGTGTTGTTTGTACATTGAGGAATAAAACTGTACCAGGGCTGCACCCTTTTCATCTGACAGTGCAGTCCGGGATTGAGCTTCATCTACCTTGCTGGGGTCTGGGGGCAGCGAGGCCTCCACAGGGAAGGGGCTGCCTGGCACAGGGCTGCCGTCATAGCTGACATCCACGGCGTAGACGCCTTCCTCCTTGGGGATGTACTTCACCAAGCTGCTCTCTTTCCCCGGCAGTGGCTCCACCATGCAGGGCACGGCCTTGTTAGACGGGCTGCTGATCTTCACGTCCAGCTTGCCCAGACCACCAGCCCCCTTGGTGTTGACTGCAAACTGCTGGTCCTGGTCAACCTGCACCCCTAACGCACAAACATGGACACAGAGTTCTGTACTCATATCTTTGAGTTTTCTATACCCTTAATCCTAAGTATGACAATTTTAACCCCTACCAGCCCTAACCCTAACCATGAGTAACCCAACAAAATACAAGACTTTTGGCATTTTTAGTTTTTTTTATTGCAGTCACATTTTTAGAAAACTGAGTTTCCCCTTGTGGGGACTGAAAAAAAGTCCCCACATGGTATTAAAAAAAACGTACACGCTTTTATCAAATTGTGGGGAAATCTGGTTCTTACATTGTAATAATCACACACACACACACACACACACACACACACACAAACAAAAGCACGATTCACAGCTTTATCAAAAATACCAATTTTATAACGGGGGAAAATCTGTGGTGAAAGAGAGGGAAATGATGGAATTGTACAGCTCCATATTTCTGTGCTGTGTCATAAATTTCACGAGAGAAAAGTAAAAAAAAAAAATTTTTAAACACCCATTGTGATTGTGAAGACAGCAGATGTTTATAAATGTATTTGGAGGTGGTGTGTGGCTCCATGGGTCCGGGCTCTGGGTCTGTACTTGGAAGGCTGCATATTTAAACCCCAGGACCGGCAGAATGATTTCATCACTGGGCCCTTGAGCAAGGCCCTTAGCCCCCATGGACTAGCTGACCTTGTATCCTCAAAAAATGTATGTGGCTTTGGATAGGAGTGACTGTTAAATAAATAAAACGTAATAAAATGCGCAGTGCCTAGAGGGGGCAGCCTGGCACAGACCCAGCGATGCAGACCACTTACTGCTCTCCAGGTCATTCACTTGAATCTTGCCGAGATCCAGTGGAGCTGCTACCCCTACAGTGAAAGGGCTCTTGGGAATGGGGTCACCTCCAAACGTAACTGCAATGCCCAACTCCCCCTGGAGACAAACACATAAACCAAAAACATTCCGTTATCCATGGTGGCAGACTAATTTCCTTGGGGGGGTGGGGCTTTTTGCCCCCGAGAGCAGAAACAATTAACTCAAATCAACTCCGTCAGGCTGGAACTGCATCCCTCCAGCTACTTTTGTTTATTTTACACATTTGTTTGACTACATGCACAGGAAACGCATAACACTGCATTTTCTGGTTGAGAACAGGATGTCTGAGCTTCGAAAGACACTAATCAAAGCAAGGCACAACCAGAGCCTGGATTCCATAGTTACATCCTGCCCTACCTGCTGGACTGGCGTGTACTTGACAGTTTGGGAGTAATCGTAGTTGTCGATGATCTCGAAGTCCCGGACGGGCTTCCCTCTGGCAGCGCCGGCGAACTGGACATCCAGGGGAGCTTTGCCCGCCCCTTTGGTGTAGACCGTAAAGTGCGTGGGCTTCCCACACTCTACACCTGTTCCGGGAGGGAGAAGTTCTAAATATCTGGCCACTGCAGCTTGACAACGAGAAACAGAAACTTCCTGACGAAAAATCTGCTGGCTTAGCATCCTGACAAGCGACAGATTTCCAAGGACCATCTAACGATCAAAGGCGCATTAGTTAGAAGGAACTGGGAAGGGATACATTTGACTTGACTTGAGTCCATCTTATGTCTGTTTTAATCACAGCAGCAGAGAGAGAGGGGTGTCACCTGTACGAGCAAGGCCGGGTCCATCCACCTTCACCTTAGAGGCGTCATGCGACGGCTCAACTTTCACCCGGAAAGGACTGAGCGGGACTTCCTACAGATAGGAGAGAATGGCAGCGACAGTAGGTTATAGAGTCCCAGGCTTCCTGCCTCTCCATATCACACAGCATTTAAAGAATGAAACATTTCAGATGCAAGCCAAGAAGTGCATCACGACAACATTAAACGTGGTATACGACTTCTGCTTAGGCCTTGGTTCCATCCTACTCATTCTGGTATTATGACGGGAAAGACCCACCTGTCCGGCGAAAAGCACTTTGATGGTGAATCGTCCAGCTCCTGGTGGTGTGAACTTCACGGTGATCGTGTCGTTCGCGTTGGGGATGATGTCAAAGTCAATGTCCTCCTCCTTGTTACTGATAACATTGGCATCACATTTGATGCCTACGCTGACATCCCCTGGGTAAAAAAAACATTACATTATTTGCACGTTACGTCTCTATATTGTTTCTGTCAGCCGCATTTAACGGGCGTTCAGTCCATCCTTGTCAGCAATGTACTGAGACAGACAGGAGAAGGACCTCAGATCCCAGGAGCAGAGACAGAGGCGCAGGTTACCTTCTCCAGCCTCGGTGCAGTCCACGGTGAAGTGTGTGGGCTCATTGGCTTTGAGGCCTGACCTCTCCACCCCCGGCCCAAACACCTTCACCTTGTTGGGGTGACTTCCCTTCCCGATATTCACCTGCAGCACATTAACCCATCATCTTAGGCATGGATCATTTCTGTAGCTGTCACCGTGACCTGAATCACAGCCTTTAACACACTTGTACTTATTTCTTATTTAAATCGCACAATATTTATTATTACTCCATTTTTTTGTATTATTACTCCTTTTTATATGTTCTACTTGTTTCCTATTACTTTGAACTTGCTGTGGACTTTGAGTTTTCCCCCCAGCTGCACTCTACCAAGTGTCAACTGATGTGAAAAAAACGTGACAAATGATTTGACCTTTTTCATTGTCAACCAATCATTGGCTACTTCGCCTTGCGATGCCTTCAGAGCGTCAGAATTTGAAATCGCTCTAAGGGATTTTCGCTCTTTGTCGTCTCTCAGATCATCAAAAATGGAGGGAAGCCAGCAAGTCACCAGAAGCACGGTTCACTGGTGCGAACCCATTGAGAACTGACAATCTGATTGGCTGATGAGCGCTTGTTCAGAAACCCTAGTTAGCCACACATCTATAGAACTATCCCACTTTTCCCCCATTTAGTCGACTTACCCTGAAGGGGCTGTTGGGCACGCAGACTCCGCCCCAGGCCACAGCCACCGTGTGCTTCGTGGCGGTGACAGGCGTGTAGCAGCAGGCGTACCTGTCATCCCCCATGTTCTTCACCTTCACGTCGATGGGGGAGCCCTCAGAATCCTACAGGGCAGGGAGGGAGGGCGTTCGGCAAAGATAGGACACTTCAGAGACCCGTTACGAAACCGAGGGCCAAGACTGACATGGAATAAGATCATGGGATTCTAGGAAGGAAGGAAGTTAGGAAGGAAATAAGAAAGGAAGTAAGGAAGGTAGGAAGGAAGGTAGGAAGGAGACCGTTGCCTCTCCATCTGTCGAATGATGTCATTTTGCTGCTCAAGTCCACACCCCCTTGACAGATTTGTCTTTCTCTCCTAGTGAAAACAGGACCCAAGAGAGGAGTCAGCCTCACCTGAGCAAAGATGTTCAGCGGTGCTCTCCCACAGTCTTTAGCGTCCACTGTGAACTCTGCCACTTTATTAATGACACAGCCAGTCTTCTCCAGGCCAGGACCATAGGCTTTCACCTGAAGAACACGCAGAAGATGCAGCTCACACAAGAACCAGTACCACATTAAGAAAACATACCAGCACAAACAGAGACTGTATTAATGCCAAAGGATAATGCACGTGTAAAGCAGCACAAAACACATAATTAGACTGTAAAATAGACATTTAGACATTAACAGACAATAAAAATTAATTTACTGTTAATAGACTATAAAAATAAAGAAGAATTCCACAGAATTCCATGGTAACAGCTCAGAAATAAACAGTGTTTTGCAGCGAACAAATGAATGTGCTGTGATTGTGCCTAAGTAGTTCAGGCCTCCCACAAGCGTCACTGGGTAACTCACTGCAGACTCTAATGGCCAACGGTTTGAAGGACCAGTAAGACCTACGTAGGTGATTTTTAAAGTGGATCTTTAGGGGCTCGGACTCCCACACTCAGGTCGACAAGGCTGATGAGGGCCGCAGTTCTCACCCTGTGGGGAGTCCAGCCGTCACTGTTGGGGCCAATGAGGGCCATGAAGGGGCTGTCCTCGATGTCCTCGTCGTCACACATCACGTGCACGGCATACTCGCCCAGCTCTGTGGGCCAGTACTTCACGTCGCACGAGCCGTCATTCTGGTCCTCGCACTCGATCTTCGCCTGCGAAGGGCCCTCGATAGCAAAGCCTGCGATTCCGGCCACAGAGAGGCAAAGACAGTGAGCACGGCCCTCCGCCGGTCACTTTGGTCTTCCCTCTGAAGAGGCGCTTCACCCTCAATTAAAGAGCTCTGCCAGTACGGGTGAGTGGGGGGGCGGCCATGACTCACCAAGCACGCCAACGTCTGTGCCCACAGACTCCACCACAAAATCAGCCGACTTGCCCACAATGCCACCTTCCAGACCTGGCCCCCAGGCTCGGATCTTCTGCGGACCAGCATCAGGACCCACATGGACTTCAAATGGGCTGCAAGAAAATTAAAATCAATGAGGAGGATCAGACACCCCCAGCTTTTGCCGTTCTATACTAACATGTGTCATTAGAGCTGGTGTTTGCCACCACTCGAGCTATGCATTTACGTGGGTCCCCCTGTTGGCCACAAACAGCCACTGCAGTTAATATTAAATAAACACACGCCTTTTTTAGATATGCTGAAGCAGCACATTTTGTCGACCAGCTAGCTATGATATTCCGACTCAAATCACCAGCTATCTATTCAGTTTTTAAAACATCTGAGGGCAGGACAGTAGGACCCCAAAGTGACTTTTTGAATCAGGCCCCAGAAACAACACACCTGGTCCTTTGTACCACCTATACTGCCAACGCTCCTAACCCAGTCCCAGACTGAATTATTTTAAATAAATAAATAAATAAATAAATAAATAAATAAATACAAATAAAAAAGTATTGCGTTGCAACTCTGTGGTGGGGAGCACACCAGTTACACAACACTTATTTCCTTATTTCACTTTTCATCTACCAGCTTGCACAATTTCACCAGTACTTTTGACATTCTCCCCTAACCAGTACACTTCAGCAGTTCATCATACCCATCTGGCAACAATCCACTGCAGTCTTTGTAGATCTAACACTTTGGCCGCAGTTTAATGTGCATCACTGCATGGGTGTTGCGTGTATTGTTGACTGCCAGAATTAGCACTAAACACAAAAAGTGGAGCGTTTAGAGACAGTTAAGGGAATCTGCCAGCTGGTACCCGGAGCACAAAACAGATAAAAGCAAGACGGTTGCGGCAGACGAGCTCCTCGCGTGGGAGGACACTGTAGAGACAGTGCCAAGGCTAACCGGCTATCGTACATCCAAAAGGCTAGCAGGCTTCACAGGGCCAACATACAGCTTCCCTCTGACCTTACAAATGCTGCTGGTGTGTACCTCAGAGGAAGGTCATTGGTTCTAATCCCACGGTCGGATTTCACCATTTGGCCCTTGAGCAAGGGCCTCAACTCCCAAAATGCTCCAGCCACCGAAGAAGCAAGCTTGAATTTTTGTTTTATTATTATTATTATTTTTTTTAAAAGCAGCCCAAGTGAAAGCACAGTTAATGTGGAAAGGTACCTATGGAAGTTATAGCAGCTAATTAATTGTTATCACAATGAGTGTAAGTTATAACAAAAGGCATTATGACACAGACTTAACTATAAAAGGTCAGGAGTTTTATTATGTTTTGTGCTTTTTGAGATGATTTAGATCCTTTGGCCCTCACGGCTCGGTTTGTGTGGGAAATGCTGCACGAGCCATGAGCAGCTCCCACGAACTAGAGTTTGACAGATGAACGTGCTCCACAGCTCCTGGTAGTTCTTTGTGCTCGTTTCCCTGGAGCGATGAATAAATGAGCAGATGATGAGCGGTGACAGCAGCACAGCGATGAGGTCAGCACTGACCCCAAGCAGTGCCACAAAGCGGGCACCATGGCAACAGTCGCGCCCGGGCACAAATACACCACGTCCCTGGGTTAATCACACCTGGCGCGCTGCCAGCCTGTTTACCAAGGATTCAGAGGTAGGAGACAAACAAGGAACCCCTTACTTAGCAGCAGAGGGATTCTAAAAATGCATCCATCTCTGGGAACAGGACGCCCGCGAGACGGGTTCTGGCACCGTAAAACAACCGCCCGCATGCCCTCTCCAATGCAAACAGGTAACAAAAACTGACGCGTTCAGGCTAGCGTTGTGGCGTCACAGCGTGAGAAATCTGCCGTACATAGATCAAGACCATCGACGGCACCAACACGCAACACTCCCAAGCTTGTCTGCTGACCTCTCCTCTCTGGTGCAGCCCTTCGGGGCCCCCGCCCCCAGGAGTAAATGATGTAATGCATACACCCCCCCAGTACACCCGGAGGCTCTTCCTTTCCCACCCTTCCTGCTACCATTCTGGCACACCTACATGCACAAGGTCTAGGATCCCCTTTTAACACTCGCAGCGACATTCTAATAAGTTATTGTATCCTATTTATTACTTATCATTTTATCGGACTCTTTGTCTTGCGCTGTTCTCTGTCCTGTACTGCACTGTCCTGCTGTCTGTACTGCTGTCTGTCCTGTACTGCACTGTCCTGCTGTCTGTACTGCTGTCTGTCCTGTACTGCACTGTCCTGCTGTCTGTACTGCTGTCTGTCCTCTTCTCCACTGTACTGCTGTCTGTCCTGTACTGCACTGTCCTGCTGTCTGTCCTGTACTCCACTGTACTGCTGTCTGTCCTGAACTCCACTGTACTGCTGTCTGTCCTGTACTGCTGTCTGTCCTGTACTCCACTGTACTGCTGTCTGTCCTGTACTCCACTGTACTGCTGTCTGTCCTGTACTCCACTGTTCTGCTGTCTGTCCTGTACTGCACTGTACTGCTGTCTGTACTGCTGTCTGTCCTGTACTGCACTGTACTGCTGACTGTCCTGTACTGTACTGCACTGCACTGCAGTCTGTCCTGTACTGCACTGCTGTCTGTCCTGTACTGCACTGCTGTCTGTCCTGTACTGCACTGCACTGTACTGCTGTCTGTCCTATATCATGCTGCTCTTTGCTCTATTGCCCCCCTCCATGTAACTGTGGCACAAGAACTTCACCGCGTTCCTCCAAACACATCACAATAAAATGTTGAAACTTGAGAGAATGAAAATACACGGTAATACTTTAAATAAGTAATAGATGTATTCATAAATAGATTATAGATGTATTCATAAAGCATTATGAAGGTATTAACATGGCTATAACTATTTATAAAAAGGCATATAGCACAGTATTCATATTATGCATTATGAATACTCTAAGAAGTTCTCCTCTACAATGCACTATAAATACCTTAATAAGACAACATAATGGCTTATATTGACCATTATAATGCATTATGAAGGTGTCTATAATGTATTATGATGACTGCTTGAAGTAACATGTTACCAAAAACAAATAAGCTTTTAAAATCATCCATCCATCCCCGCTTTATCCACACTGGGATCACGGGGGGCCCAGAGCCTATCCCGGGAACAACGGGCGAGGGCGGGAACCAACTCTAAAACAAGAACAACCTGCACGCAAATCCATGAATTGGTAAGCGACTAGCTAACAGCAAACATAAATGATAGGTATTTACGGGGCGTAAATGGCAGACCCACACAAAGACTCAAATAAAGCTGGTGTGTGAGTGGTGCATTGTGGGAAAAGGGAACAGTGGCGACTCACCTCTTGGGAATGTGCTGGTTGGCCCATGTGATGGCTACCACGTACTTGCCTGGCACAAGTGGGTAATACTCAAAGGCATGGACCCCGTCCAGACTGTCCGTCTCCTTGACAGGCTCATCTAAGCCCTCTGGCAGATTTGGGAAGAAGTTAATACACATCACACGAAACACCCTCATCCCTCAGGCTCCTATCTAAACACCTTCCTGACGGCAGCCAGAAGGGGTCATTAAATCAACCAGAAGAACAAGCTGCAGCCCCCACCTGAGCCTACCTAACCAGTCCCACCCCCAACAAGAAAGCCCCCAAGAAGAGTGGCAGCGGGGAGTCACTTACTAGGCCCCTTGACCACGACCTTTAGGTCGCCGCTGCCGGCGTTGCGGGTGTCCACCCTGAAGTCCGCCACTTGGTGCGCCCTGACGCCCTTGGGCTGCAGCCCGCGACCGGTGGCACGACAGGCGTTGGGGCTGGAAGCTGAAAAAGGGGTGGGCGGGGGGGGGGGGGCTTAAGACAAGCTGCCACAGTAAGAGTCCTAAAACCAGCCAAGCAAGATACCTGAGCCAACTGACAACTGTTGCATCAGCTTGGGGTGAGCAGGGGGGGGGGGGCGGGGGGGGGGGGGGGGGGGGGGGGGGGGGGGGGGGTGCGGCTCAGCAGGTTACGCCTCTCCACTGGGCCCCTGAGCAAGGCCCTTAACCCCCTGAGAAATGCTCCAGGGGTGCTGGGCAGATCAGATGTGCTGGGCGGTGAAAGCGGATGGCGGTTGCCCCAGTGGGCCCACATGCCTGGGGGCACGCGCTTCCCTTAGACCCGAAAAGAGGGGGCACTGTAGCCTGTCCAGCCTAGGAAAGTGTACCAGTCACTAGTGCACCACCGACTGGGACGAGAACCCAGTCTGCGTTTTTACTGGCAAACCGGGATGAAGTTCCAGGGCAGCAACCAGTATTCTGCCAAGCACGGCACTGGAAAGACTGGTCACCGTCAACGGCATGTTTATGGAGCGGCTGGCTGGCATCCTATACACCAACGGCATCGGTGTTTTGGCAAAAAAAAAAAAAGTAAACACATACCTTACAAACATTGTATACAAAGGACAAAATACGCTCGACTTTAAAGGTAAAGTTAGATGTTGGAAGCTCCTTTTAAAGCCAGAATCACGTCAGACAAAGGTTCTGCTATCGTCATTGGCTCATCACTGACCTGAGAAAGGCTACAAGGTGAGTGAATCTCTGCAAGCACGATCACGCTACACTACATCTGGGTCAAATACTTAGATTAAATAAAACTGACCCCTGCAGCAGACCTGCTCTGCGTTAACAGCAGCTTTTATTTACGGAAACCCGGTTTAAAAGGTGACGCTGAAAGGTTTTTTTTTTTTTTTTTATATAAACGTCCGTCCGGTGTGGAAAAGCAGCCTCAGAGAGCAGGAATTTGGCGTTTTACGAGCCCACTGTGAAGTCAGCATGTCCACGATGTTAAGTCACTGGGCATGTGGGGTGCAGAACACTCATTACCTGTTCTTAACATTTCACACCTCAAGCAGACGCACCGCTGTCTAACATGCAAAGTGAAGGCTTATTGTACGAGTTTAATTAAAAACACGAAGCAGAGATACAGGAGCACGCCAAGCCCAATGGCAAAGTGTTTTTAACGCTGGTGATGGTTCGTTGGCATGCGGGACAAACGTTTACCGTCCCGCCTGCTCTCTGCACCCTCGACCCAATGAATAAACCGTTTATGCGACAGCAGATGAGACCCACTGCATCTGGGTGAGATTAACACCCGCCGAGCTCTCGAGCGGAAAGCCACCCCCGTTTAGTTTTTCCTTCTCTCGTTCCGCGACTCCCCCCGTTGGGACGCCGCACGTGCTATTGATGTTCTGATCTCGATAGAGGATGACGCTCGCTGCCATTGTAAGGATGCGCGTCATCTCTCCTGATCCTGGAAGATGTAGACCACCTCCGGAGGGCAGGCATGGGAGTCATTAATACGCTGCTGTGTCTTCCCATTATTACGCTGCCTCACCGCAACAGCGGAGGACTTAATTGGTACAAACTATGCACCTTACACATGGCAAGCACCCGGCAACCACAACTGTCACACAGATTTATCACGACTCAAACAATTAGACACTACAAAGGGCTTAGTTCTGAAACACATTAGGAATAATGTCTCTTGGGATTTTCCCAGCAGGATGTTTCTAGAAGTATCTAAAGGGAAAGAATACCTGGACCGACGTTGACGGTGAAAGGGCTCTTGGGGATGGCCATGCCCCCAAAGGTGACGGATATGGCATGCGGGCCGGCCTGGACGGGTTTGTAGGTGCACCGGAACATGTTGTCACCCCTGTCCTCCAGCATGGTTTCCACCGTGTTCATGTTGCCCTGGGGGTCCTTGACAGAGGCGGTGACATCACCGATGCCAGCCCCTATCAGTGAGAGAAAGGTCACAATCTCAGCGACAGACCTGGTGTTAACGGCATTAATTAATCTTCAAACTCCCTGGGAATGTTTCTATAAAAATCTGTGTTTTTGGCAACCACGAGTTTCAGTCATTGGAAGGACACCATTAGCTTTGCGAGACGGACGGGAATGTTTACCCCTTCATGCTGGGGTCGCTTATTTGCACTGCCCTATGACTAAGCCATAGCAGCGGAAACTTGGCGCGTTGACCTTACCGCAAAGCTTTCGGAAATAGTTGGACCGTAAGTTTTGAAAGCGTAAGCCTCTTCTTTGGGACACAGACCTGCGGTGTAGATCTCAAAGTAGGTCGGCTTATTGGCAACGTTGCCCAACGGTTCCAGGCCAGGACCCCTTGCAGTAACCTTGCTGGCATCTCCCAGGGCCTTGTCCACGTTCACCTCGAATGGACTCTTGGGAATCTGCTGTCCTGCAAACAGCACTGTCACCTACAAGACAGGACGTGCAGAAGCTAGGGGTCAGGAAACGCGTAGGCGCGATACACTGGCCGCATAAAGCATCACACAAAACAAGGCTATATGGCCGAAAGTATGGGGACACCAGCATTTCCAACATCTCATTCCCATTAGATGGTGGACCATCGATGGTGGGATTTGCTGCCATTCAGGTGGGGTGATAAGGTCACTGCCTGTGAGCTTGTGTGGCCAAACCCTCCACAACTGGACTTGCTCCCAGATGTTTCAGCACTACTGTCAGTTCACCAGCAGTTAACCAGTTATTGGACTAGATGGTGAAAGATGGCAGACAATGATGGGCCAATGATGGAAGGTCACTAACCTCTTCTGTACAACCACCCATTATGCTGCTAACGTTTGTTGCAGGAGATTGTGCGACTCTGTGCCTAATTATACACCTGCATCAGCAATGGATGTGGCGTAGTTAGACAATTCCTTTAATTAACAGGGGAGACCACACACCTTTGCCCATGTAGTGCAGTACTGCTTTAGTTGTTGCCATAGGTCACAAAAAGAATAACAGATGTTTTATTAAAGAAACAGTGCGCAGTGATGGTTTGGTACTAAATGTTAAATTCCAATTAAAGAAATACAGTTGGTGCTTTGTTTTCCCCAGACAGCCGGGTCATTTGGAATGGCTAAGTCAGCTAATATTTGTGCTTTTATTCATTTCTTGCACTTCCACTTATGGGGCAGTTTGCAGAAGCTTTCCTCACCATTTCGGTGGTTTGCTTGTTAGTATAATGCTCTCTGTTGAGGTACCGGAAAACCATTAATGCAATACTGAATCATGCTTTAGCATTTTATTTTCAATAGGGGTGATACTTATAATTGAGGTTTTATAGGTCACTGTGGGGAAATCTTATTTATGCCTCCCCAAACTTGCTTTGCAGGTGAGAGCAAACTGGCCGCAAAGGGCAGCCACCTGTTGTGACACCCTGGGAGCTGGGGATTAAGGATCTTGCTGAAGGACCTGTAGATGTGCCAAGACTGGGCTTGAAGCAGTGACCTTCTGATTACAGAAAGAGGGGTTTAACCCACTGAGCTACACACTACACCAGAGCAGCTCCACAATATATACACTCACTGGCCACTTTATTAGGTACACCTTGCTAGGACTGGTTTGGACCCCCTTTTGCTTTCAGAACTTCCTTAATTCTTCGTGGCATCGATTCAACAAGGTGCTTGTAACATTCCTCAGAGACTTTGGTCCCTGTTGACATGAGAGCATTAAGCATTTGCTGCTGATTTGTCGGCTGCACCTCTAGGATGTGAATTTCCCGCTCCACCACATCTCATAGGTTCTCTGTTGGATTGAAATCTGGTGACTCAATTGAGAGAAATGCATCTATAGCTACACTTGCAGCTCTCAATTTACGTAAAAAACATAAACTTGTATCCAGAGTTATGGAAAAAATATCCAGGAAAGAGAGTTTACAAAAGCACCACTGTGAAAAAGCAACGTGTCATAAAAGCATGTAAATGTATACTATGTTTTCATTTAACATCCGCTCTTTAGTACATATTACTGGTATATTCCAAGTGGCAGGATCACGCTACCTTGTGAGGGCCCATTACTTTAGGAACATAGGTCACAAGGAAGGTCTTCTTGCCTTCGTTGGGAATAGCTTTCACCTGGGAACCACAAAAATCATCTGCCTGAATCAAAAAAACCACAATAAACATAACATACGCAGTGAAACACAACAGAGACGTTCAGGGATTACACTAAATTGCAGTACAACTCGAGTGAATCCTCCGACTTAACAGCAAGTAAGAGTAATTGACATTTTCTGGCAATTTCAGTGATTTAGTACCGAAATAACCGCAGAATGAAGTGTAATCAGCCATGAGGATGAAAGACCCTCATAGGATTTACCCAAAAAAAAAAAAACACAAATGATCGATCCCCTAAAACTCGCCATTCTCACCATAACACCCCCATTCCTATTCCCACATGTGAACGGATCAGATCAGCCCCCGGGGACCTGACGCCAGTACAAACTGCCCCGGAGTAAGTGAGCCCACCTCTTCTCTGGTTCCCTCAGGGTCCTCCACGTACACAGTGACCTGACCCTGGCCGGCACTGTAGGTGTCCACGGTGAACGTTGCTGGGCGCAGTACCCTGTTCCCAACAGGCTCGATCCCTGCCGGGGAGTGGGGGGGGAGGGAGACCGATGAGAGATGGGAAAGGTCCCAGGGAAGGGGGGAGAACAGGCTCACACATGACTATTTCTGGGGGCCTTGTGTCACTCAGCGGGTTTGGATGCTGGGCCTGTGATCAGAAGGCCACTGGTTCAGTTCCCTGGGTCAGCAGAGTGATGTCACTGTTAAGCAAGGTCTTCATCCCCCAATGGCTGTCAGACCCAGCTACCCAAAAATGTACATTGCTCTGGATAAATAAGTGAGTCTGCCTGTGCTGACCTCCATTCGGAGAGATGAACACAATCTGGCAGAGGGCAACGGCAGGCAGCATGTGGACGCAACATGAGCAGGCATCTTTCTGACAACGGGGGGGGGGGGGGGGGGGGGTATTCAAAGACGCACAAAGCTTCAGAGCTTATCTCCAGATTACTGACAGCGGTTCCGTCATTGTTGTGGTTGGTGTGCAGGCATTTCCTGACACTGACCCCTTGAACCTTCCAGAACACAGTGAACACACCCCCAGGATACACAACCCCCCCCCCCCCCAGCCAGCTCAGCATTACAGCTCAAAACCTTAACCCTCCATGACAGGACATGACATGACATGCTTAGTAGCAAACTAGTCCTACTGGGGATGGTGTGTGGCTCACTGGATTTGGGCCCTGTGCTTGTGATCAGAAGGTTGCTGGTTTGAATCCAAGGGTCAGCGCTGGAGGGGAATTCTGAATATAAGCATGAAGTGTGTGAGAAACCTGAGAGAGGCCCCTGAGCAAGGCCATTCACCCCCAACTGTCCCAAGGTCTGGCTTGACACACCTATCTCAGCTTCGCACTGAATCAGCGTCTGCTGAACAAATGCAATGTGAAACATCAGGTGTCCTCTTCTGGGAAGCAGAGCGCGCCAGGCTCGCCTCCGATAGCACCAAACAAACACGGCATCAGCCTTAAATCTAACAGCTCTGAGGGACGTCGAAGGTGCAGTGTACGCCGTGCGAAAGGAGCACCAAGCCATCTCCAGACAGGAGGTTTAACAAGATAGGAAGCTCAGCGGACAATAAAGGAGAGAGACTCCCCCTCCATCACCGGTCAAACAAAGCCCTCAAGACCAACCTTACTAAAGCTTGCAATTAAGAGCAATTCTAGCATATTTTTAAGTAGGGGGGCAACCGAGAGGCCAAAATTCATGTAGATTCATCCTTATCATCAGGCAATGGTAGGTTTCAATTCGATGAGTGACAGGGTTACGGGCACTCTGGGGGGCCAATCAGCTGGGGCCAATGACCCTGTGGCCCCGCCCCTGTATACATTCCTGGTTACGATGGAACTAAATGTGGGAGATGCAGCTATATCTCCTTGAACAGCAGTGGGGAAAGGAAATCAGGCCAGCTGATACGTTCCAAAGGCCACAGCGAAGACTTCGGTGGCCCATTTAAGCTGGAAACCATAAACGCCGTGCTCAGTGAGACGTGGTGCCTTTAAGGAAGCTGGGGGGGGGGGGGGCGCTGTACTTATGACCTGTGCCAGCTGCTGGCCTCATGCTACCGTTTTTATTACTCTCCTGTGAAGCTTCTAATTTTCGGAGGAAATGTATCAAGCCTACATTAAATTTAACAGTTCTGTAAGCGTCCGAACCGAAGCGGCTGGGTTTTGGCGAGGCGGCCATACCTGGACCGTAGGCACGAGCTTTCTTGGGGTTTAGTTTGGGCTTCAGGGGGGCCCCAGGCTTCAGTTTGGCCTTGGGGAACTGGGACAGGTACGTCATCACCGACTGCTCGTCCACGCCGGGGTCGATGATCTCCTCTGGGGTGATGACCTAAAGCGCAGGGGTGTAGACAAATCAGGGGGGCTGGCGTGGCACCACAGCCAAAACACCCAGCTGCCAACAGAGCCGCCCTTCTGCTCTCCGCCGCGTCTAAGCCATCACACCTTTCTGTTTGCTCAAACAAAACCGGGCGTCAGATTTGTGTCCAGAAAGGCAGCAGCCTCCTTCTAAGCAAACAGACGGACAATAAACAGTTTTTCCTTTTCTTTTTTTTTTCCCCTTTATTCTTCTGCCCCACTATTCTGCATTGATATCTGCCACATGAAGAGAAATTGGAACATCCAAGTGTGCCAAAGAGGGGCATGATTGCAAGTCGGGTGCAGGTCCGTAGTGGTCGGCTGTGCCCTATTCTGGCCGTGCGCCTCACACTGCTGTGGCACCTTACCTGGGGAATCCCCAGCCAATCGTCCGCCAGCTGCATGGCCTCGTTGGCGTTGTCCACTGGTTTGGCCGTGTCCCACACCTCCCAGTCCGGACACAGGCCTGCGGGAGACACACATGCAGGCTCATCCACGGGCTAAAAGCCAGGAGTGATAAACACCTACAGGAAATCCTCCCCCGCCCGCAAAACGACCCTCAGGATGCATCCAAGAGGGCTGGGAAACTCACCCGGTGCACAGCTGTCGACCAGAGCGCCCAGGGCCTTGCCATCGCGCCAGTCCTCGCTGAAGTTGGTGATGGGGAGATCGGGCACCTTGTTCTGGATCCAGCCCAGGAGCCGCTGCTTTGGGGTCTGCTTTTTGGCGTCCTCGTCGTCCTCATCCTCCCACATGGGCATGGAGATGGAATAGTGCAGGATCAGCGTCCATATCAGCCCCAGGATCAGCTTCAGGTTCCCATCCACGATGGCCTTGGAGTCTGCAGACAGGTGAAAGGATTGAGGGAATCGTGAACGGTGCTTTTTTCCATTTTAGAAGAGAATACTGAGATAAAAATCCTTGCTGCTAGAAGTGTATCTGTCATTGTGCAAGTGGGTAACGTAACAGAATTTAGTAGCAGCCTCCATAAATGACAAATAACTTCAACTTAAATGCTTATAAACATAATGCAATCAAAGTGTTTATAAAAACTATAAAACATATGGCATATATAAGTGTGTGAGTGTATTGCTAAGTTATTTTTTGATAACTGTTTGTGACAATATATACTGTAAGAGAAAGGTGTGCTGGCCTATACAATGACAACAATAAAGAACTGAATTGAGTATTACAAGAGAAAGAGTATAACAGAGTATTTCACTCCGACTCAAAGTATAGTAATGGTGCTTCAAAACCTTCAAAGGCCTCGCAGGTCGGCCCGATTAATCGCTAGCATGTCCCTTACGTCATGGTCCCACACGGTTCGCATTATGTAAAGTCACACCTCGTGTTTCCTGGCCTCCTGCTGTGTCTGACTTTGGGAAGGCGGAGTGGATCCCAGCACGACATCCCGAGGCGGTCAGGCCATAAACGCGACCGCGTCCCCCGCGTCTGCACAGCACGAACGCGCTCAGAACCTCCGCGTTATGAAAGAGGAGCAGCGATCCAGTTTCACGCTGAACCACAACAGGAATGTCACCTCCTGCAGACGCCGCGGCGTTCCAGCATTCCTTCCCCGCCTTCCCTTCCACTTCCTCTCACACCCCTGCCCCACCCTCCCATCCCGCTCGAGGGCGTGCTGGGGCTCCACCCTCCTGCTTTGTACGGCGCTAATCAGTCATCTTCCGCAAACATCCTGCAAGCGATCATTGCACAATGACCTGCATGGCTGAACTTTGGCCCAAATACAAAGTGGCCCTACCCCGTGGGGCGGGGGCCGGGGCGGGGGCCAGGGGGGGCAGCGAGACCAGGGCCAGTGGGAGGAAATATACGGGAGGCTACCGGCAAGAAAAGAAACACAGGCTGTGACATGAGTGTGGAAAGGGGAGTGGGTCAGCCATCCACACGTCCCTGATGCACTTTTTTACGAAGACAAAGCATTGCCATGCGGTGGGCCGACGCGATAAACATCTCAATGCGCGGGCAACGATCCGATACGTTAAAGTAACTACTAACGATACAACCCTATTGGGGTGCAGTTTAGAGAGGGGGCATCAATACAAATATAAGTTTACCAATGCAAAGATGTTAGAAATGATGCATCCTGAGGTCACCCCAAACTGCATCTGGCACACAGCTTTTATATTCGGAGCAATCGCACTGTGAACTTTTATACCAGAGCACTGAATGCCACTGATGCAAAAAAATAAAATCAAATAATAATAATAATAATAATAATAAGTGAATCTTATATCTCTATTATGCAGTATTCTCTCACTCACACTCTCTCTCTTAAACACACACACACAGGTTTGTAATTATACCTTTGTGGGGACTCTCCATTCATTTCTATGGGGAAAACTCTAATCATAACATGATTACCTTAACCCCTACCCAGCCCTAACCTTAATCATGAGTAACCAAACAAAATATAAGACTTGAGGCATTTTTACTGTTTTGATTGCAATCACAGATCTTTGTGGGGATACGATAAACATTTGGTCCCCACAAAGTAATATGAACCTAATCCACACACACAATCACTGGAAGAACCAGGTACATAAGTGCATCTGACATCTGGAACCAGAACCATCTCCAAGAAGCACTGTATGAATGAGGAATGTATTCCGGAAATTCCCTAAACTGATGGGCCTTTGGAATGCAGTCATCAATTGATAATGGGGAAGTGTGCAAGGCTCAGTGTGTTAGAACTGCATGTGATCGGAAGGTCGCTGGTTCAAATCGACTGCCCAGTAGAGTGATTTCACCACTGGGCCCTTGAGCAAGGCCCTTAAGCCCCAATTGCTGCAGGGACCATCTGACCCTGCTTTCTCTAATGCATGTCACTTAGCTTCTGCTAAGTAAATAAATAACTTCATAAACCCAGATAAGACATTCTAAACATAGACATCCAAAGCACCTTAACTACATGACTGTAATTTTAGTCATGTAGTTAAGGTCAGAACAGGTCCAATTAGGAGATCCATCAACAATCGCTCCCGCGTGGAAGTGAAAGGCACCCGCGTTACGCCGCAAGGCTGCCTCACAAATCCGCAAGGCCTCTCTGGGGGCCATTGTCTGTGCCGGGGCTGTTGCCATGGCAGCCCATTGTTCAAGGCCACCGGCTGGGGCCAGAGAGTGGAGGAGAGGGAGTTCGAGCCCCTGGCATGCAGGAGGTAATTCCCGTCGTTAGTGCACTGGACTGAAACACCAACAGTTATATTATAGCTACTGGTTCAAAATATTTAAGAACCCAGCATTAAATCGGGCAAGAGTGCACCCAGTAAGAGAAACTTCATCCAGGCGTGTATTTTAGTTATGTTTGTTTTTGGGCAGAGTGCACAACAGCAAGAGCCGGATGTGTCGTCCCATCTTTAGTCTCTTAGCAGCAGTGTGTGGCCTCAGCATTCCAAAGCACCTGTTGCACACGGCCAATAAAGTTCTTGAAGCTTGAAATCAAACTGGCAATGAAGATAAAGCTCTATGTTTGGAGACGGAATCTCATTTGTGTCACTTTAGTGGATGACAGTCGTGCCGTGCCAGAAGGAGGCCGGCCACCTGTGCTGTCCTAGAGCACTGCAAGGGAAGTCCCTCCCCAGGAAGGGAGGTGTTCCTCCCCCCCAGAAGGGAGGAGAGGGAGAAGAGGGGCCCTCAGGCCAGCTGCGAGCTCACAGGACTCCAGCTGGAGCTCAACAGGAACCAGTGGTGATGTGTCAGAGTATCAGAGAGAATTATCCTGGCGAGGAGTCATCACCTCCCCAGTGGACACCTCAACCGGAGGTGTGCTGAAGGACCCGGGTGTAGGTTGGGCAAATCCATCGGGGACAGTGTGTAGTTTAGTGGGTTAGGACGCTGACTGAGATCGGAAGGTCACCAGTTCAAATCCTAGAGTCGGTAGAATGATGTCACCGTTGGACTCTTGAGTGAGGCCCTTAACCCCCAGTTGCTCCAGAGACTGTCTGACCTGCTTTCTCAAATGTAAATCACACAGGTTCAGCTCCCACCTACATGACTCTGTTTCCATTCATCTTCTAACCACTCATACTGGTTAATGTTGCAGGGGGCCAGAGCCGATCCCGGGCCGCATATGGCAATAGGCTGAGGTGTACCCTAGAGGGGATGCCACAGAGATATTAATGAATACATAATGTAATAATGAATACGGCTTTAAAAATCAGACCAAACTGCTTACTCAGCTCTATTGCCAGTGCAATGCAACTATTAAGTTAGACTTCATCTGTAATCTTTTGTTTAATTGTCTGAAGACAAGAATAACAGGACCAGAACTGTCTGAAGAAGCAGGATTCCCAGAACTTAATTATAGAAAGACTATTTGAAATGAGTAATTAAAAAGGAATTTCAGGTTATAATTGTAAGCAGTTTCCTAATCTGCTCACAATTATGGTGGTATAGCTGTCTTTGAGGCTGGAGGGACAGAACTTGTGTCACCAGCAGCCTCACTGAACGAGGGACAAACTGAAATGGAAGAGAGGAGCATCTGTGGCTTTCGACAAAACATTTCTGTGCAGATTTACGGCCTTTATTTCTGCCACGCGGTTTCGCCGAGACCCAGCTACGGGAGAAAACAAAAGCATTCTTCCCCGGACGTCATTCCGAAACTCGGGCTCACAGCTGTCCGAGCGGAAAGGTAAGCAAGTGTGGAAGGTTTCCTCATCTGTCAGGTGACATCCAGTTACATGCAGCAGCCTATTGCAAAGCTGAAAGACTGTAGCTGTAAGGGCATCTTCAATATTATGATTAAACTACTAGAGATGAAACGGTATGAAAATTTAATATCATGATTATAAGTAACCAAAATGATCACCGTTATATACCTTAAGTAAACAGAAAAATCAAATGTGCATTAACAAAAGAAAACTCCAGAGCGCAGTCACTGCCTTCTGTAATTTTATATCATTTTATTTTATGTACGTGTCTATTTTTACTTAGTTATATGTTGGTTGCGAAGTGTCTCATCGTGCACCAGAACAAATTCCTCAGACGCGTCCCCGGTGAAACACACCGATTCCTATTCTGACTCAGGATGGACCTCCACAACTTTTCTACCAACACAGACATACCAAAGTATTACTTGCTGAAGTCACCAAAGACAACTAACAGCAGAGTAACAGTACAGGCCCTGTAAGGACAACACATCCGCTCTTACGAATACAGTCACGTGCTGGGAACTCCTTTCGTAACACACTCTGCTCTCCATAGCAGAGGCTCTTACTCATTACAGGATAAGAAGTTTAAACATTTCCCACATAAGCAAAAACAGTTGGGAAATAAAGGTCTGAGTCAATGCAAGAGAAAACCATAAGTTTAAGAGGAGTTTGAGAACAGTAGGGAGAAATCCATGTTATTTTAAATTAAGAAGCAATTACAAAAATAATTACAGCCAATTTTACCGTCTTAAGGATGCATTTGCAGTCTATACACACATATGTCCACCCACCTGTGACATGCAATTTCCCATCAACTCTGGCAGGCTAATACATACCCTTTAAATTAATCATGCTCACAACAGAGATCTCATTCATAAATTACATATTTAGCACAAGACTATGACCAGGGGGTGAATTCTGGAGTTTGTTTACTTAGTTGCCATGGAAATAAACAGATACCAGCAATACTCGAAACCAAGAATAGGAGCCGTTCCAAGACAAATGATTCTTATCACTGCAGGAGGAGCCATGCGACCCGACCAACTGGCAGTGGTTTCAATATCAGTAAACAATTGCAATTCCTAAAAATCATACTGCAGGGAGAGTAGAGCTGAGAAAAAATGCCACGGGGCGTTGAGGTCAGCAGTACTGCGATGCTTTGTTCTCCAAAATG